CATCTTTTATTATTATTTTTATTGCAAATTATCTAATTGTTTATCTTAGAGATTTTCTGGCTTTATTATAAAAAATATTATTCTTTAGTTTCATTTCTAACTTGCTTACCCAGCTCCATTGTAAATTTGGTTGTTGTATCACTTTATATTTATAGTTTCTGTGGCAACCTGCACAGTTTGATCCACTTAGCAAATATTTAATTATTGATAATTATAATTTTTTAGTTGTTTTATTGTAACAGTAGGTCTGAAGATAGCCTTATTTCCTTTTCAAACATTAATTTTACTACACTTCTAAACCAAATTTATTGCAATCTAGAGATGTTTATTTAAAGGAACAGTCAGACAGCAATAAATTTATTTTTCTTTAAATGTTATATTTTTTCCTTTTGACTAAGGAAATGTAGCCTAGTTCTTATAACACTTGTGTTGTTGTCTTGCCTTTCATTTTGTATGACTAACTTTTTATACCAAATTGAATAAGCCATTAGCTTTTAGTGTGTAGGAATGTAGATCCATAGATATTTCCCATTAGACGAAAGAAAATCTATAAAAGCAATATCCCCTGGGGCTTGGTCTTCCTAGCGGCCTAATGGTCTAAATCACTGCTATACTGTACGCTTATGAGAAAGAACTATGTTGGGTGATTCACTTGGCATCCAGAAATATTAGTTGAAGAGATACGCATATCCTTTAAGATAATGTTAATGTTTATATTATACCACATTTATTAATTCAATATTCCAATTCAGGGAATTCATTTCATAAATTTTTTATTTCAAAAACAATTTCCAAACAGAATGATACACTTTTTATGTCTCATACAGTTTTCAACTAGAATTTGCTGAAACAATGAGAGATACTATATTTATATAGCCACATTGTTTTGATAAGGTTTGTTTTCTAAATAAGTTTACTTCAAAAAAGACCTCCACCAGTGATGGTTGCACAACTCTGTGAATACCTACTGAATTGTATACTTTAAAAGAGTGAATTGTTTAGTATGTGGATTATATCTCAATAAAGTTGTTATTTAAAAAATATTTTGTTGCACAAAATGTTTTCATGGGTGTGAAGTAATAGAATTTTAGTTTATTTTATAATTGATTAAAAATTATTAGCCTTAATAAACATTTGAAAGCTTTAGAAATATAAAATTATATATGACTTAAAATAATTTTTGTTATTTCGTAGTAAAACATGCTTATTATAGAAACTTCGGAAACTATAGACAAGAAAAAATACATTTAAAAAATGTGTGGGTCATTTAATATTCGTATCTACCATGTATTCTATTCCTAAGCTTTTCCTATACTTGACTACTTTCTTTGTATCCATACTTTTCCTGCCATCTTTCATTAGTAGTAAATTCCTTTTCATGACCATTTCAGGAAACAATCAGATGCAAATATTTTCTTATAGTATTTAAGGGAAAGCATTAGCTTTTTCTTCCTTAACTGAGAACATGAAGGTAAGCGATGACATCATTATCTAAAAAGAAATGCAATAAAGATAATATATAATAGCTTCTGAAATGCAGTCATTTTGGGATACCATTGTAAAAATTTGCTTTAAAACATTTTGGATTTAAAATGAAAACTGGAAATCTTTGATAAATAATATTGTGACATTGGTTCTTGTGTAGGTAGAATATTTTTTCTGCTTTTTAAAAGACTCTTGTTATCATATCTAGCCTTAACTTTATAACAGCTAAAATGGTTCACAACACTGTTTAAAGATAAATTCAGTATCAGGCTTTGAATTTTTTTTTTTTTTTTTTTTTGGCAAATATTAAGACCTGAGTACAAAATGAGGGCTGTATTGTGGATTAAGTGAAATATCTCAAGGCTGTGCTGTTCTGATAACTGAACCTGAAGTGACCTTTCTCAGACACAATTACAGAGCTGTATGTTTTTCCTTTAATTTCATCAGGGGTTTAATTAGTATACAAATAAAACTTCCCTTATCTTCCTTTCTACCTAATTGGCTTGTCTTCACTTATATATGAAGTATGTGAAAGTGGGCTGTAATTAGGGTGACCGTGTTAACCTTTTTTCCTCAAATGTACTGTTGCTTAAAGGCCTCAAGGCCTAAAAACAGTGCTTTGGATTATTGCTTTGCAATCACTATGGCTGTCCCATAGGTTTTCTCATGAGCAGAAGGGCTTTGGGTGCTGCAGGTTCCCACTGCTTAACAGGATCTTCATTCTTCTTCCCACTAAATGTTTATTGATTATCTTGCTGTTCCAGGCTCAGCCTCCAACAACTTAATATCAGGTGACAGTCAGGAGAGTTCTCCAAGTAATTAGAGTTGAGCATTGGGGGAACAATTAGGAGCAGAGTTATTAAACTTGATTTATCCTATTCTCTCCTGAACAGTTTCTTGGATATCAGAACATCACACTTTCACAATCTACCCTGGTTGAGAAATTAGTGGCTAACCTGCTGCTTATCATTGTTGCCTTGCTGCCTAGAGGCACACCCTCTTGGTTTCAGTCATTTGGTTGGAAATATTAGAGTCCATAAAGTTTATCATGGGTTTTAATTAGATCAATCTGAACAAGAGAAAAGAAAAGCTGAATTTAAAACTATATATGTGATATATGGATATGTATTTGTAAATGTATATGTGATGTGTATATATATATATAAATATATTTTTCTTTAAAGCTCAGTGTTAGGATTTTTAAATATTCTGTCTTTGTTATTTAAAAAGGTTATGTATTAGGGAAAAGACATATTCTTGAATCATGTTTTATGTCTTGGTGTTTTACACACATCCCCATCAATCTTAGGGCCCACTGATGTATTTCATGATGTCATTCACCTCTTTCAAATGAGAATTCCAGGTCTGTAAATTATAAAATTATGATTTTTTCCTCAAAAAACTATATTATCTCTTTGTTTTCATATTCAAGGAAGTATGGATTATATAATTTTGTTTATATCACTTTTTGTTTTTTTTCTATGCCCCTGAAATAGTGTAAGCTTTAGAAGAGTTTGATGACTCCTATCATTGTCCCTGAGACATGAAAATGAAAGAATGGAAATGAGAAGATTAAGCTATGTTGTAGAAACTCTAATGTTATGAGTTATATCTTCTTTGAAAGTATATGATAGGATTGTCGAAAAGTCAAGTGTGGGTTTATGATAATTCCACAGTCATGGATTCCCTGAGATTGGATTAGCAAGCTTCAATCTCAATAAGGTTGGGGATCTGAATGTTGGAAAGTCCCTTCACAAATAGGCATCTCTAGTCATAGGAGTTATTGAACAGAAGAATTTGAATTGACTGGCACAAATGTATTGTTTTTGTTGAAAGAATTCAAGCTTTATGCATAACTGATGGTGGATCATTAGTTTGATCTTCATATCTGAAAAACAGAATTTTATGTTGCTTGAAAGATGTCAGAAATGCTGACTTTAAAAGGAACTTAAAAGGATTTCACTTTTTTAAATAAAGAAATTTCATGATGCTTTAGTGCCTTTATGTTAGCATTGGCACAAAATTAGTAGGTTCAGCATGGTTTTAAAAATGTATTCATTGCCCTCTTTTTAAAATTTCTTTGAATCAGTGACTATTTTTATGGTGGAATGTTTGTGAAGATCTGTTAATAGTGAAGATTTAAAACAAAATACAGTGTCTCATAAGTAGTCATAGTTTGTTTAATTTTTTGATTTATATTTGTTTGATAGTAACTTGATTGTTTGAAAAATGAATGACTGAATTTTAAAACTTTTAACATTTAAAAATACCTGGTTTAACTCATGATGGCTTTCGATTCACCAGCATTTAGAGTGAATTAATTGGTTTAGCATGTACGCAGCTTAAGTTTTTTATACTGTTCAATTTTTTAATACTACCCATTGTGAATGCACTAAAAGAATACTGTTAGAAGAGTTTTAAACATGAAATTATAACATTTTGTTTATTCTTTACTAGATTTTTGAAGCACAGTATGGATGTTAATATGGGGCTAAACTCAGCAAGAAGAAAAAATTATGTGGATGCAGTCAGTTATTTAGCTCACCGTCCAGCAAATTTAGTCAAAAACTGTTTGATAAGCTTATTCTAGAAATTCTTTAGGCAAAAGAGTAAGATTTTTAGTGCTAAATGATCCTCTGATCCCTGTACTATTTTGCATCCCAGAATTTTAAGTGAAGTTTAGAAATACTTCTCTCAATTGTGAGCTTCTGATTCTAAGCCTTCAAGATAACATTGCACAACTGCATCATGAAATTTTTGGACTAAATAAATATTTCAGATTAAAGTAGATAGCAAATATAAATTAACATATTTTGTACTTCTGTGACTAAGAAAATATTTATAGAACACAAATAATTCTGCATGCAAGTATTATTTATAACTTTCTCTATTAGTTAAAGCATGTTATCATATTTGTGTTGCTATCCTTGACATGAGAGTTATTTACAGGGAGGCAAGTGAATTTTATTTTGGAGTCCAACTTGTTTGTTTGCTGAAATATCCATAGCTACCTAACTATGTATTTATAAAGATAGTAGTGGTACTCTTTAATCTTGAGTTCACCATTTTCTTATAGCTATCCTGGTCTACCTTTTTCTCAATCACATGCATAGTTTGGGCATATGATAGTTCTTTAGTTCTATTTAGAGTAAAATTAACTCTAACTTTCATGTGCTTTCTACCCAGAAATCTTTATTTTTTCATCATTAAAAGAAAATACAACTTGAGATTTTTATAATCGTATTTTTAGTAAGAATGCACTTTATTTGCCTTGCAGAATTAAAAAAAAATAGAACTGTATTTTGTAAGCAAACATTTGCCAAATGTTATCAGTTCTATCATTTCTAATTAGTAAGTATATAAAATTTTTGCAGAAAATTTGTTAAACTTTGATGTGCAATGACCCAAGTCTACTTCTCAGTCAGTCTGTATTCTTCTTTGTTTAATAGCCTATGGCATAAATTGAAGTTAATTATCAGGGCTGACAAGTAACTCTGTTTTCTGTCTGCTTGCAGAGTCTCTCCGAGGCAAAGATGGAGCTGAGAAGAAAAGATCAATCTCTGCGTCAGCTCAATAGACATCTTACCCAGCTGGAGCAGGACAAGCGTCGACTGGAGGAGAACATCCATGATGCAGAGAGTGCCCTCCGCATGGCAGCCAAGTGAGCATTTGGACCTTGGGGAGATCACTTAAAACAGACAAAAGATCAATTCTTACTTTCATGCTCCGGGTTTTAGCCCTGGATAATACAGTGTTAGAAAACAAAAGTACAGCTGTCTTTCTTTGAAATTCTCTGATATATCCTCAAAAAAGAAAACTCTTAACTCAACATACTAAATGTATATTTTATTGAGAAACCTCGGAAAAGTATAAACTTCTGTATAACTGCTAATTATGCTTATTTTGGTCTCTGTTATAGTGTTACATGTTAGAAACTATATTTTATTAATGTGAAATGTAAGACTCTATTTAAAAGTTTTTCATAGTATCTTATGTTATACATTCCTATCCTCTTCTGCCCCACTGTCCCCGAAATGTTGCTCTGCATATATTATTATATACTAATATTGCAAGTAATATTTTCATAAAGAAATGTTAGCATACAATCAGCATGTGTATCATAGCATTTAAAAAATACAGTAAAAACACATTGATCATGGAAAACTCATTTAATTTTTATAGCTGTATATTCTAATATGTTAAGTAGAAAAAATATAGTTTTCAGAGTAGACAACTATGTAAATGGGATGAGAATGATTTTGCTATTTTTTTTTAACCAGGTAATCAAGTTGACATACATTATGAAGTTCACATTGAACAGTTCTCTTGGGCATTTTTTATTTGTTCCTCATATCAAATTTCATGGAATACTTTAAGACAGTTCTTTGTACAACAGCATGGCTTAAAGAAAATCTATTTTTAAGGATTAAAGAAATACCTAATTTTGATAAACTCAATTGTTTTCTAAATTTAGAATTCTGAATTTCTTGACTTGCAAAAATATATATGTTAATTAAACATTTTTTGAGACAAGCATAAGATATCATCAAATATGAATATAGTTTGTAAACTGCAGACTGTGTATAAATCACTGAACAAGGAATCCACAATCTTAGGATATTCATAAGCATTGCCACTGGGTTTGTGACATTGCTCAAACATAATGAAAATATGAATTGACACAAGTCCAAAATATTGGCATATTTGAATAACCACTGATAGTTTTTTTGAACATTGTAAAACTATATAACATTGTACCACCATATAAGGTATTTGTCATTTTTTAAAATTTAAGTTTGACTAAATCAGTTTTTGTTGTTATTGTTCAGTCTCAGTTTCATCATGTCAAATGAGAGGCTTAGCTCATGTAATTTCCAGTGAGTCTTATAGCACTGAGAAATTTCTGAGATGAATGAAAACAGGCTTATAAAACCTCCAGATTCAAATTGTGTTTTCAAAACATTGCTGCTAATTCAGTATTTTGACATGTGTATGATCTGTGACCATGGGCACATGTTTTTATAAAACTAAAGAAAGCTAATTTGAAATCTGGAGAACTAATACATTATTTACAGTTTTCAATTTCAATTTACAATTAGATTTTTATCTTCAATATTTTCATTCAAACTTTTTATTTCATTATGAAGGCTAAATTCAATATACCAGGTTGATAAGAGAAACCAGTAACTTTGCATATTCCTAGACAGGTCATGGAGGAGATTTCTGTGTAATTATTATAGTATAAAAAGACTGTGTAGAAAGGAAAATATTATTTTGCATAGTATGGTTATTTATTATATATCCCCATTGCTAAGATTTTAAAAGTCTTTTTCATTAGAAATGAAAGAATAATATTTTATCATTTACAGCACATTTTAAATTATCAATAATATAATTATGAGTTTTTTCTTTGTTTTTCACTTTTTTGCCTTTTTATTCTCCCCTACCCCAATTTAGGACAGGCAACAAAATTTAAGATATGAGTTAAATGTGGAAATATGTCAGTGAAAATGATTAGTTTTTTACTTTTTAACAGAGAACAATGACTTCAAAAATCAAAATTTAAAAAGTTAAAATAAATTAAAAAAATAAAAGAACAATGATATAAGACCCTTATTTTTTAATACTAGTGACTTATACTAAAATGTGTAACCGTTGTAATAAGGTTTGAGTTTTACTGAGAGTCTTTCTTTTATTTTTTCTAGAGACAAAGAATGTGTTGCTAATCACATGAGAGCAGTAGAAAATTCACTTCACAAGGTACTGTAATTTTTATTTAATATTGTTCAGTTTGTATCATGACACCTAGTCATTATTTTTATTAACCACAAAATATTCTAATTCATTTTGTAACTTAAAAAATAAATTAACAAAAGGATGCTTTGCAGATGACTGGAAATTTCCATTACTTAGTGCTATATTGAATGCTTTTTTCAGAATTCACTTTATATACCTAATAAAACTATGAAAATAATGGTTTCCCCAAACTGGTGTAATTGCACTTGGAATTATTTGCAGTCTTTGCTGGACAAAGCAGAGGCCATTAAAATTCTTACATGTCTCATAATGATAAAATGTTTGACCACACTGTCTAACCTCTTACCACTCTTAAACCAAGGGTCCTATATATATATATGTATAGAGAGAAACATATACTTTATTTAGTAATACTCATACATGTAAACTAGGTGGTAATGTTATTCAAATTGAAATTTTCTTTCTTACTTGTAAGAATATGTTCTTAAAGTAGAAATTTAATTATTTAATATATTCTATTGTTTTCAAATTTAATTACCTCTGTATGATAAACTCTGACTTTTAATTTATAGTGATGAACAGCATATAAAAGTATTATGATATTAGTAAAAACATAGTATATTTACTGACCATGTATTTTGTTAGCACCCCATTCCACATTGAAAGATGCGTTCATTATTTCACTGTTGAAGAGTAGAGAAATGTTATTCATGTGTTTCTGCTACTGTCTGATAGACAACTAATTGGAAATGTAAACATCGAGTACTTTAAAGATATATGGAATTTATGAATGAATCATATTTAGAATAACCTTGTGAATCAATTAGCTTATATAATATCATTTTATAAATCACTTAAAATACCCTAAAACTAACCTTGGGCATATTATATAAAAATTAATAAACTAATAATTAATGCCTTTTAACATTTTAAAAACAATTAGCCTCGCATTCTTTTATATTTTGAAAGTGACCAGCATTATTTCCTGTCAACAAAAATATTTTGAAAAAAAAAATAATCTGAGTGCTATTTCCTAAGCTTCTTTGAAACTATGATTTCTCCCCCTCCCCATTTAAAAAAGTTTAGCTAGTTAGTATATTTTAAATATAGTCACATTAAATTCACATGTGCCACAAATCTGAAATTTAGATTTGCAGTGAAAGAGACATCTTTGGTATGTTTTTTTGAACTTGATGTATAGAAAAGTCAATTACGTCATATACATGGCACACCCTTTTATATAGTTAAGGTGATTTTGAAATCCAATTGTTTTTTCATCATCCCAGTTGGAGAAAAAAAAAGTTAGATAGCAGCTAACTTGAGGAATGAACTTTGACATCAGAGAAAAACCATCATCAATATGAAATGTTAAATGTTGTACCTTCTTTTCTTATGAAAATGGCAAAATATATTGTTTAAATATAATAAAGACTGACTGCAACAGGATGATTATAATCATACAGTTCTTCAGTTGTAGTTCATCTTTGATTTTTGTGTCATATGGAAAGAAAGCTGTCTGTAAAACCGGCCTATAGCTATTGTAGATTTACCTTTGCTGTATGGCTTTTTCTCTCTTCAGATTTAATAGTTAATTATTTTCATTTATGTCTTTAGAAAATTCTATTAATACAGTGATTTTAAAGTTATCAATTACTTTTCAAGCTTGAAGTGAAAACTGAGGAAAGGCAAATGATAACTGGGGCTAATTCTTTTTTCTGTGAGGTATGCGTGAAAATGAATGAGTGATAAGGAGGTGGCCCAGAGAGACCTCTGAAGTTCTCAGTAAGTTGCAGGCCCACCTGTCTTCATGCCAGAGTTCAACAGGTTTATTTTTGTAGCTACCTTGGACTTTACATTGGCATTTTACTGTCTTTGATGAAACAAAGAAGAGTACAGAAGGAGGGTCCAGGCTCTTCTATGGGGTGGTAAAAATGGACACGGATACATCCAAACTCTTTAGCAGTTTACTGTGCATAGTAAAGTAGTGTGATTATTTGTATTTCTTACTTTTTTTAAATCCCATGTGTTTTCAAGGTTTGTATCATTTATTTTAGAATAAAACTAAGTTTTACCTGCTGAGTTAAATTTTAATGCTAACTTCTGACACAATAATCAAATAGAAGAAAGAACTTGTTTTCATGCAGGCATTTTTTCTTTTTTTGCATGTTAAGGAACTTAACCTGGACATATATATATATATATATATTTTTTAGGAAAAATAACTCCATTTTATTTATACTTGTTAGTTTTTAAGCAATACATTTCATTCAGCTTTTCAAATACTACAACTGTGTTACACAAAACAGTTGATTAGATATTATTTTCAAAATTCCATTTGGGATTTATAACTACTATTTAAAAGGAAGGTTAGTCATTTTAGTTAAAAACATATGTTTTTTTTCAAAGAAGTGTAAGTTTTATATTAATTTCATTTACATATATATTTTTATTTATGCCGGTTTTTAATGTAGGTCAGAAGTAAATTTTAAAAGACACTCTTTTAGTGGGGGCCAATTTCAAGTTATTGGAGATAAAAAAATAAGAGCAAGAAGAAACAAAATCATCACAACTTTTGTGAGGTGGGTTTTTAAAAACACACCCATCTCTCTTAAGTTAAAATCTTGACTGCTTTTTATTTTTTCTGGAAAATCCAAAACTGTTGAACTTTTTCTGAAAAAAGAATTTTGAAAAAAATTCACCAGTTTAACCATTTTAAAGTGCACAATTCAGTGGCTTTCAGTATATGCAACCATTACAGCTAATTCCAGAACATTTACATCACTCCAGAAGAAACCCAGTACCCAAGAAGCAATTATTTCTTATATCCCTTTCCTATACGTCCTGTCAAGCACTTACCTTCTGTCTCTGTGGATTTTCCTATTCTGGACATTTAGTATAAATGGAATAATACAATATATGGTTTTTGATGTCTGGCTTCTTTCATTTAGCATAATTTATTCAAGGGTCATTCATATTGTGGCATGTATTGATATATCATTCCCTTTTACGGCTGAATAATATTCTATTGTGTGTTTATACCACATTTTGTTTATGCATTCATCAGCTGATAGACTCTGGGTTGTTTCCACTTTTTGGCTATTATGAATAATGAGTGCTGCTGTGAAATTTTGTGTAAAAATTTTTGTTTCAAGGTCTGTTTTCACTTCTCTTGGGTATGTAGCTGGGAGTGGAACTGCTGGATCATATGATAATACTATGATAATGTTTTGAGGAACGACAAAACCGTTTTCCACAGTGGCTGCACCATTTTAAATCACCATTATGGATAAGCATTCTAATTTTTCCACATCCTTGCTCACACTTGTTAGTTCCATTTTTTTTAATGGCCATCCTAGTGGCTATTACGTAGTATCTCACTATGGTTTTGATTTTCATTTCCCTAATGACTAACAATGTTGAGCATGTTTTCATGTAATTATTGACTATTTGTGTGTCTTCTTTGGGGAAGTGTCTCTTCACATGCTTTGCCCATTTTTAAATTGGGTTGATTGTCTTTTTGTTGTTGAATTTTAAAAGTTCTTTGCATATTCTGGATACTAGAATCTTATTATACATATGATTTGAAAACATTTTCTCCCATTATGTAGGTTGTCTTTTTACCTTCTATTTAAATAGTGTCCTTTGATGAACAAAAGTTTTACTATTTGATGAAGTCTAATATTTTTTTCTTGCTGCTGCTTGTGTGTTTGGCCTCATATCTAAGAATCCATGTACAAATGCAAAGTCATGAAGATTTCCCCTGTGTTTTCTTCTAAGAATTATAGTTTTAGCTCTTATATTTAGGTCTTTAGTCCATATAAAATTGATTTTATATATTGTATCATGTAAGGGCCCAACTTCATTCTTTTATTTGACAATCCAATTATTCCAGCACCATTTGTTCAAAAGTCTGTTCTTTTCCCATTGAATGGTCATGGTACTCTTGTTGAAAATCAGTTGACTATAGATGTATGGGTTTACTTCTGGACTCTCAGTTCTGTTTCACTGCATTGTATGTGTTTCTTCTTATTGGTATCACAAAGTTTTGATGACCGTGTTTTCTATCAAGTATTGAAATTGAGAAGTGTGAGATTTTGAGATCTCATGATTGTTTTGAGTATTCAAGTTCTCTCATAAAATTCCATGTGAGTTTTGGGATCAGCTTGTCCATTTTTGCTAAAGAAGGCAATGGAATTTTGAAAGCTGTTATGTTGAATTTATAGATCAATTTGGGGAGTGTTGCTATCTTAATAATATTAAGTCTTGCAATTCATTAACATAGAAGTTCTTTCTACTTATTTAGATCTTCTTTAATTTCTTTCAACAATGTTTTGTGGTTTTCAGTGTACAAGTTATACATTTTCTTGGTTAAGTTTATTCTTAAGTATTTTATAATTTGTGATGCTATTTTAAATGGAACTGTTTTCTTAAGTCTAACTTTTGATTCTTAACTGTTAGTGTGCAGAAGTACAACTGATTTTTGTATGTTCATCTTTTGTATGTTCATCTTGTCTCCTGTAACTGCTGAATTTATTAGCTCTAGTCGTTTTTGTGTGCATGTGTAGCTTCTTTAGGATTTTCTACATGTAAGATTATGTCATCTATAATATAGTTTTACTTATTTCTTTCTAATTTGGATGTCTTTATTCTTATCTAATTATCTGGCTGGAACATCCAGTATGGTGTTGAATAGACATATTGAGAGTAGACACCTTTGTTTTGTTCTTAATCTTAAGGGGAAAGTTTTTGGTCTTACACCATTAAGCATGATATTAGCTGTGGGTTTTTTTCATAGGCTCTTTATCACTTCGAGAAAGTGCTCTTTTGTTCCTAGTTTTTTTAGTGTTTTTATCATGAAAAGGTGTTGAGTTTTGTCAAATGCTTTTCTTTTTCTGCCTCAGTTGAGATAATCATGTTGTGCCTCCCCTCCTTCATCCTACTGATGTTTTGTACTACCTAGAATTATTTATGTATCAGGAACACCATTATGTTCCTGGGATAAATCTCACTTGATTATGGTGTATGATCATTTGAATATGCTGCTATGTTTGGTTTGCTAGGTTTTTTTTTTTTTGAAGGTTATTGCATCTAAATTCATAAGACATATTGGTCTGTAGTTTTCTTGTGATGTCTTTGTCTGGCTTTAGGATCAGAGTAATAATAGAATAGGTTAGGAAGTGCTCCCTTGTCTTCATTTTTTTCAAGAGTTTGAGAGGAATTGGTATTAATTCTTTAAATATTTGGCAGAAGCTCTTAAGTTTAATAAGGTCCCATTTGTCTATTTTGGCTTTTGTTGCCGTTGTTTTTGATGTTTTAGTCATGAAGTCCTTGCCTATGCCTATGTCC